CGTATCGCGAGATTAGTCCGGGAGACGGGGGCGTGGCCACGAGCCGGAGGGAAGGGCAGAAGGGTCTGGGGCGGGGACGAGGGCCTGGGGGCAGAAGTTGGGTCGGTGGTGTCACACCCCAGCCAGGGCCGGCTGCAGTCTGACTCCGAGCGGTTGGAAGTAGCCCTGAGACCTGTGAGCGCGGACCTATGGTACCTTGGTGGCCTTTCCACGCGCAAAGCCACCGTCCTGGAGCCTTGTTTCTCAGCCATGGTAGAAGGACACTGGCCCCGGAGTGAAAGCCTTGGCTGACTGCAGTAACTTGCTGTGCAATCTTGGGCAAGTCCCTTTGCCTCTCTGGTCCCACTTGGTATAGGATGGAGCATCTCGGTGTATGGAAGGAGAAAGCGGCCTCCACCCGGCGGCGTCGCCTTCTTGCTTCTCCTGGGCAGAGGTGGGTGCTAGCTTGGCCCTCGGCCTTTGCCCCACCACATTCCCGGTGTCTGAGGGCCAGCCGCACCTGGTTCCCAGGAGGCCGGGACTTTGAGCTGCACACAAGCTGTCCGGCACAGAAATCCAGCCGTATTAGGGAATGAATAGGCTCTCGAGCGCCCTCCTTGCCGGAGGGACACAACCTGTGAGCCTGAAATCTGCTCTCAGGATCAATAGCTCAGGCTCCCGCACTTCCCTTCTTATACCCAACGTCCTCCATGAAGAGAGGCCGATGGTAGAAACCAGGTGAATTTGCTGTGCGGAGAGCTGAGTGTTGAGACAAGGAAAAGACATTCCTTTTCTTGTTCCTCTGCCTGTCTGTCTGGTGGCCCGAGGTACTCGAAGTAGGGAGTTATTCACAGCAGTTGCACAAGGTGACTGAGAAACATTAATGCATATCACTCTGAAATGTATGTATTTATAGGTGTAAATGGAGCAGGCATGAAGCGCAATGCCGATTTTTAAAATAAATTTTTATTGATTTTGAAGAGGAAGGGAGAGTGTGAGAGAGAAACATCAATGATGAGAGAGAACCATTGATCCCCTGCCTCCTACATGCCCCCCACTGGGGACCAAGCCGGCAACCCAGGCATGCACCTTTGACTGGAATCGAACCCGGGACCCTTCAGTCTACAGGCCGATGCTCTATCCACTGAGCCAAACCGGCTAGGGCAATGTTGATTCTTTTAAAAAAATATATATTTTACAATGGGGGGAAAGTGGGGGATATCTGTAATACTCTCAACAATAAAGATTAAAAAATATATTTTAATTGATTTTAAAGAGAGGAAGGGAGAGGGATAGAGAGAGAAACATTAATCAGCTGCCTCCTGCACACCCCCAACTGGGGATTGAGCCGGAAACTCAGGCATGTGCCCTGATCAGGAATCAAACCATGACTTCCTGGTTCATGGGCCAATGTTCAATCACTGACCCACACCAGCTGATTCTCCTTTTTTTTTTACAATGCTGATTCTTTTTTTTTTAAATATATTTTATTGATTTTTTACAGAGAGGAAGGGAGAGGGACAGAGAGTTAGAAACATCGATGAGAGAGAGACATCCATCAGCTGCCTTCTGCACACCCCCTCCTGGGGATGTGCCCGCAACCAAGGTACATGCCCTTGGCCAGAACCGAACCCGGGACCCTTCAGTCCGCAGGCCGACGCTTTATCCACTGAGCCAAACCAGTCAGGGCACAATGCTGATTCTTTACATTGGCAACTAAATAGCTATTGAATACTAGATTATGAAAAGTTTTTTACAAATATAAGCTTTAATTAAGTTTTAATGATGAAATTTATTTAAATAACACTTGGAACTCAATAACAAGAAGACATACTCATTAAAAATGGGTAACATATTGAACTAACATTTCTCTAATAAAGACATACCGAAGGCTAATAAGCACAGGAAAAGATGCTCAACATGATTAGTCATTAGGGAAACAAATCAAAACCATGAGGTACTGCTTCAAACCCAGCAGGATGGCTAAAAGGACAATGTTAAGTGTTGGTGAGGGTGTGGAGAGACTGGGATCACCATGCACTGCCAGTGGGAATGTAAATGATGCAGGCACTTTGGAAAAGTGTGGCAGTTTCTCAGAAGTTAAAGATAGAGCACTATATGACCCAGCAATCCCATCCCTACAGAAACTTAAGTGAACACATATGTCTACACAAAAATTTGTACGTGAATGCTCATAGCATTATTTGTAACAGCTGAAAAGTGGAGGGAAATTGTTCATCAATTCATGAATGAATACACAAAATGTGAGATAGCCATACAATGAATGGTATGTGAGAATATACAATGGAATGTTATTTGGCAATAAGAAGAAATGGAGTGTGCTGATACATCAGAGCATCCACATGCTCTGATGTGGATGAACCTTGAAAACATGATGCTGAGTGAAAGAAGCCACAACGTGCATGGCTCCATTTACATGAAATGCCCAGGACAGGCAGATCCACAGAGACAGGAACTGGGTTATGGGTGCCGGAGGCGGAGCGCAGTTACAGTGTCGTGTTTCTTTTCGGGGTGATGGAAATGGTCTAGGCCTGATAGTGGGGGTTGTTACCCAGCTCTACAAATATACTGTGAAATGGTGAACCGCACACGTTCAGTGGGTGAGATGTATGATCTGTGACTTCTGATCCGTTTACCAAAAAAAATGGGCAGGCTGATTTGGTTCAGCCCAATGGCAGTGTCGGCGAGTCTGCGGCTCCATGGCCATAGGTGGCCCGGCGTCAGGAAGGCCCCGCCCCCCGGCCCGCCCGCTTATCTGCACCTCGCAGCGGAGGGAACGCGCAGGGACCGCCCGGGACCGTGCGATGGAGTCGAGCGGCGGCGACGAGGGGGCTGCGGGCCGCGGGCCGCGGGTGCTGGTGGTGGGCGGCGGCATCGCGGGGCTGGGAGCGGCGCAGAGGCTTTGCCGCTACCCGGCCTTCCGGCACCTGCGGGTCCTGGAGGCCACAGCCCGCGCTGGAGGCCGCATCCGCTCGGAGCGCAGCTTCGGTAACGGCCTCTCCCCGAACTCCCTTCCCGAGCTCATGCCCAGATCCCAACCGGTGCCGCCCCGCCCGAGCTCTGCCGCCGCCTGGCCGGCCTGCGCCCAGGCTTAACCGACCCGGAAGCCTTCCCTGTCCCCTAAGTGAACCCCCGCCGCGCCCCAGTTAATCAACCAAAGTTCACTGGTCCCTGAAACTCAGCTGCCCGTGGCTGGCAGGGCGGTCCCTGCTGGGAGGGACCCCATGACTGTACCCACCGCTCAGTCCCAGGTCATCCCTCCGGTGTGCTCCCCAGGCTGGTGCAGGCCAGCACACCCCCTCCTCCGGGGTCCCCCTCAAACTAGGTCGGGCCAGGCCCTTCGGTGAGGGACTGTGGTCCTCAGGGACCCGTGGCCCTGGGGCTGGTTTTCAGAGCATTTTGGGGAAGGGCAGAGCTGGCTGAGGTCCAGGAGAAGGGCTCAGGGTTCACCTTCGCGGGGACAGAACTTCAAGGTGCCATCTGTGTCCCCTCCCAGGTGGTGTGGTGGAGGTAGGCGCTCACTGGATCCATGGGCCCTCTCAGGGCAACCCCGTCTTCCAGCTGGCTGCCAAGTACGGGCTGTTGGGGGACAAGGAGTTGTCAGAGGAGAACCAGAGGATCGACACCGGAGGTCACGTGGCGCTGCCCACGGTGTCCTATGCCAGCTCCGGGGAAAGTGTGAGCCTCGGGCTGGTGGTGGAGATGGGCCATCTGTACTACCGCCTCATCGACCAGTCCCGGGAGTTCCTGCACGCGGCGGAGGCCCCCGTGCCCAGTGTGGGGGAGTTCCTCAAGAAGGAGATCCGTCAGCACTTGGCCAGCTGGACAGAGGACGAGGAGACCAAGAAGCTCAAGCTGGCCATTCTGAAGAACTTCTTAAACATAGAGTGCTGTGTGAGTGGCACCCACAGCATGGACCTGGTGGCCCTCGCACCCTTTGGGGAGTACACCGTGCTGCCGGGGCTGGACTGCACTTTTCCTGGGTATGTGTATGCCACACCCGCCCAGCCTTCCATGCTCCCCAGGCCCCCTCCATGC